CTGTGTCGTCTGTCCCATCAGGGATCTTCCTCTTTTTGCTGCTTTTCTGCTTTACCAGCCGTGATGTCCTTTCCCAAGGACTGGACTCTCCTGATAACATATCCACAGTATGCGAGCTGAAGTCCTGCCATCCTAACTTCCAAGAAGCATTCTGACGGAACTTCTTCCAGCCAGATTTGTCCTTCTTTTGGTACTCCGTGGCACCTTTCACATTCTTCACCAGCACCGCAACTCAGACGCACCGGTTCTTCTTCAGTTTTTCGTATTCCATGTCCGACTCTCATAGGTATGTGAGCTGAGTGAAAAAGACCAGGGCTTGAGTCAGGAGCACTTTGGTTCTCATAGTGACATAGAGAGGTCTTGTACTGCAGCTTCACACAATGCAGCACTTCTCCCATGAACATTGATTGCAGATCCAACCTCAATCCTTTTTTTGGTTTATGATTGTGTTACCTATGGGTCCAGATGTGAGGATTTTGGTTTTCCTTATACTATGCTGTAGTCCACAGTGAAGGCTGCAGTCCTTGCTCTTCACTAGCAAGTGGTTCAGGTCCTCCTCACTTTCAGCAAGCAAGGTTGTGTCTAGTTAATGAAGAAATGAATTTATTTAATGAACAAAAAGTTTTTGACTTCATGTACAATTTTTTAATATTTTGTTTTTCTTATAAAACTGTATAGATTCATGACCAAAATCCAAAATTAGGATTTAATGTTATTAAAATACATACCGTAATATAAAGGGAACTTTGTGTTTTGAATCATCATTTTTGTTTTGCTGCTGTGAGGTGCTGTGGAGTTGGTTCCGGTCAGAACGACCTTATGTACAACAGACGGGAACTCTTCCCAATTCTGCACCATCCTCACGGTTTGCTGGGTTGGAGGAAGTCACCATTTCAGCCGTCCCCTTAAGGGCCTACCTCTTTTTTTGCTTACTCTCCACTTGAAGAAGCATAATGTCTTTCGTCAGCGACTGGCCCCTTCTGACAAATGTCTCAAGTAAGCGAGACAAAGTCGCACCTCCCTCATGTCTAAGGAGCATTTTGACTGTTGTTTTTCCTTGACCTTGTTTGTTATTTTGTTCTTCTTATAAAATATTGAATCGGTGGTGTACTCAATATTTTTCACTCAATAACACGATTCAAATGCACCACTTGTCCTCTGGTCTTACTTATATGAGGCAATAGAAAATATCTTGGCTTGGGTCACACTTACCTTAGTCTTCAAAATTACATATTTACTTTTTATTGGGGCAGATTTTCCTAATGCAATACATTATTTGATTTTTTTCCCCTTTGAATTTGAGTACTATGTCTATGGGCATTGATTGTGAAGCCCAGAAAAATGAAATCCTTGATAACTTCAATTTTTCATGCTTATCACGATGCTGCTTATTGATTCCTTTGTGGGGATCGTTATTTTCCTTATGCTCCTGCGATCCATATTGAAGGGTACAGGCTTTGGTCCTCATCTGTAAGTGCTTCATGTCTTCACTTTCAGCGAGTCAGCTTGTGTATAATCTGCATTTCACTCATAGTTAATGGGTCTTTCTCAATCCTGATGTCACAGTTTTTATTATTTTTTTCATCTTCTTAGATAATTATTGGACTGAATAAGTATGGTGAAAGGATACAACCAGGATGCACACCTTTTCTGATTTTAAACCACACACTTCGTCGCTATTCTGTTCAAATGACTGCCTCGTGGTCTACGCGCAGGCTCTGAATGAGCACAATTAAGTGTTTGGGGGCTTCCATTCTTCACAGTGTAATCCATAGTTTGTAATCATCCACACAGTTGAATGCTTTTGCATATTCAACAAAACCAAAGTAAATACCTTTCTGCTATTATCTGCTTTCTACCAAGATTCATCTGACCATCTCTCCATCAACAGTGATAACCCTCATTCCACATCCTCTTTTGAGTCATACTTGAATTTCTGCCAGCTCTCTGTTGATAAACTATTTGTACATTCGTTTCTCATTCAAGGGATATCTATAGATGTTTGTGTGTGTGTGTGCACATAGTTAGAAGCTTGGCACTGGAAATGGAATGCTTGTCTCAGCATACACTTTGGGATACCCAAACGAATGTCACTCATTACTTCATTGCACTCCGATTGTGTGTTGAATTTTGACCTTGGAGTTGGGAAAATTCTGTTTTTTCCCCGTCTGTGAGATTTGGAAAGCAGTGACGTTGGCCTCCCGTTCTTGAATATTCCCACAAAGTCACAAAATCAACAGGAAGAAGAAATAAAACCATCCATGAACCAAATCAAACCCAAACTCACTGCCACCAAGTTGATTCTGACTCATAGCAACTTTATAGGACAGGGCAGAACTGCTCCTACGGGTTTCTGAGCCTGGAACTTCACACGAGTAGAGAGCCTTGTCTTTCTCCCACAGAGTGGCTGGTGGTTTTGAACTGCTGACTTTGTAGTTAACACCCATTGTGTAAACAACTATCCCACCAGGACTCCATTCAAAATCACTAGGGAAATGCTGTGGTTACAGAGAGTGGAGTCAGGGAAATTCAAACTTAAGAGAAATATACAGTCACCGAAAGAGTAGAGTAACACAGAGAAAATGGACAAAGCATAAGTAAAATTATTCCAGAAAGATAAAACTGGGATCCAGTGTTATAGCAAAGAGGGTTAAAAGTAAATTGGGCCAGAACTTACAGCCAGAAGAAAGCATTGCTTTAGTAATAGGTATATATATAATCCTTCAGTATATATATTGAAAGGGTGGTACTCTTGAATACCCGTCTATGAAAGGAAAGGAAGAAGATAAAGGGGGGAAACAGTGTCCTCTCGTTATTGTTAGGTACCCTCGAGTTGGTTCAGAATCATAGTGATGGTATCTATGTCGAACAGAAGGAAACACCGCCCAGTTCTGTATCATTTTCACAATTGTTCTTAGGTTTGAGTCCATCTTTGCAGCCACTGTCAGTCCATCTTGACCTGGGCATTTCTCTTTTTTGCTGCCCCTCCACTTTACCAAGCATGGTGTCCTCTTTAAGGGGCTGGTCCCAAGTACGTGAGAAGGAGCTCCCCATCCTTGTTTCTAAGGAGCACTCTGGCTATACTTCTTCCAAGACAGATTTGTCTGTCCTTTTGGCGGTCCGTGGCGTTTTCAATATTCTTCACCAGCACCATAGTCAAATGCATTGATTTTTTATTTAATCCTCCTTATTCAGTAGCTAACTTTCATATGCATGTGAGGTGGTTGAAAATAGGATGGCCTGGGTTAGTGTACCTTAGTCCTAAAAGTAACATCCTTGATTTCAGCAAGTATCCTCTAGAGATTAAAAAAACAAGGTACTTCCAGGTTCTCCTCTGAATCATCATGAAAACTCCATAGAAAAGAAGGCAAGAGATTGCTCTCAAACTAGGAACTGACTCCATTAAACAAATAGTAACAGAACAAAATAAGTCACATCTATGCAAATCTGGATTGCATGTTTTCATTCAGATTTTTTGGTATATGAGGCAGAAAACACTTTGAATTGCAAATAATCACTCTAGAAGAAGAATGCACCAAAATTTGAAATGAAAGGTGATTGAATGTTGAGTCTTCAAAAAACCCTACTGCCATCGAGTCATTTCCAACTTATAGCAACCTAATATAGCAGAGTAGAATTTTGAGTTTTTAAGGTTGTAAATTCCTATGGAGCAGAGAGTCTCATCTTTCTCCCTTCAGGTGGCTGATGGGTTCAAACTGCTGACCTTGTGATTAGCAGCCCAACTAGACTCAAACTTTCTCCCCCGGGCTCCATCAGCTCGGAATACGGATAAAAATACAAACAAAATCAAGTAAGCAATGAAGATTAAATTATAAGGCACTCAAAGGAAGCTTGACTCAACTGACAGATGACCTAACACAACAATATTTACATTAAATGTCTATACTCTAAACAGAGCAATGAAAGACAGGGCTTAGAAAAACGGATTCAAATCAAACACATGATCCACCTATATGCCGTCTACTATAAAGTCACTTCAGGTGTCCAGTGTATAGAATGATACCCAAACCCCTCAAACTCATTACCATAGAGTCATTTCCAACTCATAGCAGTCCTGTAGGTCAGGATTGAACTGCTATGGATTTCCAAGCCTGTAACTTGTTATGGAGTAGAAATCCTCACCTTTTTCTTGGGGAGTGACTGGTGGTTTTGAACTGCTGATTTGTGGATTAGCAGCCAAGTGCATAACTACTATGCGACCATAGTGTGTGCGTTAAAAGAGAAAGGATAAAAAAGTATATTTATACCATGCAAACCATAATCAAAAGGAAACAGTTGTAGATAGAGTAATAGCACATAAAGCAAACTTAGGAAGTAAAACCATTACTAGGAAGAAACTCGAGGTGTGAGATGGTCAGAAAATCGCAAGAATATAGAAGTACTCAATGGGACCATGAACTAACAATCTAATTGACATTTATAAAATTCTCTACCCAAGAGCAGCAGGATGCAAAGAATCCTGCTTTTCAAATGTCTGTGGACTATATACCAAGGTAGACCATCTCCTAGGACAGCAGTTCTCAACCTGTGGGTCACGACCCCTTTGGGGGCCGAACAACCCTTTCATAGGGATCACTTGATTCATAACAGTAATAAAATGACAGTGATGAAGGAGCAATGACAATAATTTTATGGTTGGGGGGGGTCACCACAACATGAGGAACTGTATTAAAGGGTCGTGGAATGAGGAAGGTTGAGAACCACTGTCCTAGGAAATAAAGTGAGCAAGATAAAGGAATTTTATATACCAAACATGCTGACCATAATGGAATCTCACCATAACCAATGACAGGTGAAATAATTGGGAAGAGTCATCTAAATGAAAATCTCGTTTCTCTATCTTTTTTTGATTTGTTATTGGCTTTTGCAACATGGCAGGATAGATATGTTTTATCTGACAATATGCCAAAATGATCGTGAAACATACTATTTGTTACCTGTGATAAATTGTCTCACACATTGTTCACTTTATTTTACAGCATCTCTGTTAAAAGGACTAAAGCATGCTAACATAGTGCTGCTTCATGACATTATCCACACCAAGGAGACGCTGACGCTTGTGTTTGAGTATGTGGTAAGTAGAACAGGAATTGATGTATGTGTTAAGAATGAAATTAAAATAGGAATGAAATTCGTACAGCATTTTCATTATTGTTGTTAGGTGCCATTGAGTAGATTTTCAACTTAGAGCAGCAAGTAGAATTGCTCCATAGGGTTTCTCGGCTGTAATCCTTAGAGGAACCGATAGCCTGATCCTTCTCGCTTCTGAGCCACCAGGTGTGTTGGAACTGCCAACCTTCAGAGCTCTTGAAGGATGCATCCGAAAAAGGCCACTGGAAAGCCTAACGGGACTTTCGGTGACGTGATCACTAGTAAGGAGTTCCAGTTTTATGTTGTTATGCTGAAGTAACTGTTTTACATGCATACATTAGACTTGCAATTCTGCATTAAGTAGAAACTCTTGGATGATATGACTCATACAACATATTTCCAGGAAAATGCTAAGTTGAATTTATTATATATAGTATGACATGTTATATATTATGATATATTAGCTACTAATAACCTAGTTATTACTAAAATGTCCTGTAGAATAAAATTAGCATGATGGTGATCACTCTATCAAAAGAGGTTCACCCAACAATAAAAATGTGCTTTTCTATAAACTTGTAACTTAGATTCTCCAAAGCATCTTTTTTAGAATGTGTTTTTGGAGGAAAGCCTGCTGCTTACAGCTTAGACTTGAGTTTTTCCCCTCAGTTGGTATTTCATCTATTAATTAAAGCTTCCAGTTTGCATATCACACATTGTAGTGATCTTATTGTGTTGAGAGCATTACTGCTAGAAGACTTGGACTTGAACTCATAATTAATCTTTCTCCATTTCCCTTAGAAAAACATATGGTATTTGTGTAGCACCACTCCAGCATTTAACTGTGGAATCGTGAAATGTAACCATGATAATTAACATCCCAATTTCCACAGATGGATCTGAGAACATGTAATTTATAAGATACAGATGACATTGGTGTAGACTTTTATTGAGAAGAATAGCTGTTCGGATTGTGACTGTCCTAAATCCCATTTTGTAATTGCCATACTATTTCTTTTTCAAAACCTGGAGTATATTCTATTTTTCCTTAAAATGTATGATAAAATGGATATTTGCAACATTGTTTCTTGCTAATGTCTGCCTGTGTCTGTTTGGCATTCGAAAATTGTTGTCTTATGGAGAAGGCATTCATCTTGTCTATTTACATATAAATGATAGATACATTTAAATGATATGGTAATGTGGCCACAAGGAAGGCTAGAGCTAAGCAGTTGCATATATTACATGATACCAAGAATGGATACAGATTCACACATCAATGCACATATAATTTCTTTTGTTTAATCAATAATTTTGCATCAATAATGTTGAGCTGACTTAGAATTTGAATTTTTGATTCATGTTTTCTGATAGGTTTAGTTGACATACTTCACATAAACCTAGCTTTTTCTTACTAGAGCAACTTCTGTAATGTTTTATAGAAAAGATATTTCAAAAATGTAATTCCTCCTGCCCTCAAAAATCAATAATTAAAATAAGGGGAAGAAAAGTAGTTTGGACCTTAAAAATAGGAGCAATAATAGAGAAACTAACAAAAACCACATGAAAACATATCTTCCAAAGTTCAAAAGAAAAACAAGACATTTGTGTGGCTAAAAATATGCATATTGGATCAGCTGTCGTTTGTTGATTTTGCATTCTCTGAAAGTTACCAAATAAAAGAAAAGAAATTTATTTCCTTGTAATATTTGCTAAATCATTAAGACTGACTTTCAAATGCAATCATGCTTCTTTGTGCGTAGTTCTATGAAGACATCCCACAGTCTCTGAAGTCAACACCACCGTAGCGCGGACAAATGAGTAACATACCCTACAGGCAGCATTTCCTTCCTGGTTTCGCTGAGGGCAGTTAAAATGGATCTAGATTCCACTGCTCCCGCTTAGAGAAGGAGCCAGGCGGTTGCCGTGCCTGCTGTAAGATTGCCCTCCTCCTCTTTGGGTTCTTTGCTCCATCTTGATTTTTCACTCCCTCGTGGTGGTGTTCTGTTTTTTTGCCTTCCACCTTTTCACCTTTCCTTTTGTGCTTCTGTCTTTTCGCTCCACCTGTCTTCTTCATGTCTTTGGCTATGAGCTGTTTCCGCTATGCATGAAATATGCTTGCTTGTTTGCTGGAAGTAAAAGATTTTTTAATAATACATGCAATTAGATTTGGGGGAAAGAAGAGTTTGGGGATATAGGGATATTTTATGAGAGTCTTCCCAGTTAGGATGAGGAAGGACTAGTGTCCTGGTTAGGATTAGCTTGCCTGTACGGCATTTACCCAACACAAAAACACGCAAAAAAAAAAACCCTTTTGGCATAGTGCCTAAAATTTTAATTTACTTCCATGTTTTTAAGTAGTTTATTTTGTTAGTATGCTGACTTCAAGGGGAATTGGACTTTTATAGGTCACTAGAGATCTCTATGAGGGACCTAGATACCATGAGGGCACTGTGTGTTTGCACCGGTGAGTGAGTGATGCAGTAAAGGATGGGAAAGGATGTTTGAGATCAGTGTGACTGCAATACTAAAAATGAACACTCGGGTTTGTGGAAAATGGATTCTGCATGGGGCGCTGTGCTTTCTGGGCATTGGTACATATGTTTGATGCTTCATCAGCCTCCTGGAGCTCAGCCTGTCACCACTGCACAGAAAAGAAGCCTTTTAGAGAGATTGTCTTGCCTAAGATTTTGTATATTTATAACCAGATAGTTTAGGCTTATTTTCTTGTGCATTGTAATTGAGATGTTTTATCTCCTGTTTACTGTTTACCGTTTTTCTTTGGTTGAGTCTTTGGTAAAACGAGAGAAAGAAGACTTTGCTCTTGTCTTCAAACTTTCTTCTTCCTTGTGGCTTATTCAAACACGCACACACCCATCCCACCCCTACACAAGCATAGAACTTTGTTATTTCACAAGTCCTAAACTCTACATCAAATATTTGGGTAGAAAGTTGCCTCAGCTGAATGAAGATATGCCTGTTAGAGTAATACTGCATATTTCAGTTATTAATATCAAAATCAAATGTGTTTCCTAACAATAAAAAAACCTTCATATTTTTTAGGCTCACTGTGATGCAGTCATCTTCTTTTTGAGGAAGGAGACATGCAATTCAGCAGTGGAGGAGAAAGCAATGTCCCATGCCTATTAAAATCCTTAGATACAAAGAGGGAAAATCATGTGTAAAATAATTTAAGATTCATTAGGTATTATTGACTTTTTTCATGTTGACTTCAAAATGAAGTGTTCAAATGCTTTTTGAGATGTATCTGTAATTCCAGTTCTCAAAGTGAAAGGTTCATATTTATGATAATGGGTGTGCATATACATATAGATTTTTCCCCTGTTCCTTGCTTTAAAAGAGTACTCTAAACCAAGCTGCTTTATATTATTCCCACAAATGACATTTTAGGTTACATAAAAGCCTTTTGAGGGCTAGAGTAATGAAGTAAGTGATGAAGAGTTAGTGAGGTGAAAGAATACTCGAGAAAATGAGTTTGGAGCTCGTTGTTAAAGTGATTCAGTGCATAATGAGATGTTGTTGAGGTAGGCTATCTCTTAAGTACTATGGAAAGCTTCTAAAATGTTCTAAAAGTTCAGATTCTTACATACTTTGAAAGCATCTAACTATAATGATATGGAAGCTTCAAGGTTGGGGATGTGCTGGGAAATGCACTCTGCTGGCTGATCGTGTATCAGTTATTATTTAACACGTTGGCCCCTTTGATGCGTTGGGCTTATTCTGAAGTTGGGCTTATCTCACCATACTTATTCATTCTGTATGCTGAGCAAATAATCAGAGACACTGGATTGTATGAAGGGGAACTGGACACCAGGATTTGAGGAAGACTTAAACAACCTTCGATTCACAGATGACGCAATCTTGTTTGCTGAAAGGACTTGAAGCACTGCCTGACGAAGATCAAGGATTGCAACCCCAGTATGGATTATAACTCTATGAAAATAAAAACAAGATCTCACAAGTGGACCCATAAGTAACATCATGATAGCAGAAAAAAATGATTGAAGTTGTCAAGGATTTCATCTTGCTTGGATCTACCATCAATGGTCATGGAAGCAGCAGTCAAGAGATCAAATGAAGTATTGCCTTGGGTATATCTTCCGCATAAGACTTCTCTGAAGTGTTGAAAAGCAGGGTTGCTCCTCGGAAGACCAAGGTGCTCCTGACCCACGCCATGGTATTTTCACTTGTTTCACATGCACAGGAAAGTTGGACTTTGAATAAGGAAGATCAAAGAAAAATCTATGCATTTGAACTATGGTGTTGGAGAAGAACATCGAAAGTACCACAGAGTGCCGAAAGAACAGATCTGTCTTGGAAGCAGCAGCAAAAAACAGTAATGCCCTGGGCACGATGAACTGACACAGTGGTTGCACCAAAGGGCTCCGACGTAGGAAGAGTGGTGAGGATGGTGCAGACTGCGTAGCGTGTCATTCTGTCAGCGTTACATACTGCTCTACGGTGTCGCTTTGAGTCAGAACTGACTAGATGGCATCCAACACGCCACCAACAATACAGTCTGAGAATTGCCTTTCTCCTGTCTTTGTCAAATGGGATGACACACACAAAACACAACACAGCAGTTCAATTCTTGGTGAGCCCCATTTTGAGCCAATTCATGGTGCCCCCATATTTTTCTGAGTAGAGGTATACTCTATTAGGTTACTTGCTTGGTCTGTTGGTGTATATATATACATCTCATTTTCGGTGAAAACTTACACAGCCAATTAGACTCTCATTGAATGTCGTACACAAATTGTTCGGTGATAGAAGTTGGGTTTTCCACAAGGTGCCAACATTCTCGTTACTTGTATCTGCGGTTTCATTCCCCATTCTCTATTGCCATCTCAGTTTCACTGCTGACCTGTTGGTGTGGTACAGATGGTTTTTTAATGGAGCACTGTACTCATGGATAATGTTTATTTTGTGTCTCAATCTTATTTGATTAAAAGGTAAACTCGG